CCCCAAAACCCCAAAACCCCAAAACCCCAAAACCCCAAAACCCCAATTTCAGATTTTCAAATTGAAATAAAAACAATAGGGTTTAAATTCAGTCGGATTCGTACCCAACCAGAGAAACTGAGATAAGGTTGCAAATACATGCATCAAAGATATAGAAGATAATTTTAGGGGTTAGAATGCTGAAGAGAAGGTTAGTTATGAGGAGCATCTGCAACCTCACCAACACCCAACTGGGTGTACTTTCTGAGTCTAGATTACTTCTCTGAGCCTGATCTATTTGAATGTCATTTTCAATAATAGATTCATACTTCACTCTCCTCCTCTTCTTTTAACAAATTAAACTTCCAAATACACCACCATCAGCTAGCAGCAATGAGGAGAGAAACAGGAATACCGATTGTTAGGAAAAGATAATTTGAATTAAAAGGCACAGGATCCTTGTCAATAGGAGCTTTCACGCCTAAAATAAATCTTCCATCCTGTTCTGAATGAGGGATAACCAGAATTACTAAATAGCCATAAGGAGTAATCTCTTGAATGTGAGATTTCTTATTAACCTGATTAAGCTCTCTCTGATATTCATAACAAACATAGTTGAATGTATCCTTAGTGGTAATCAAGTGTCCATCTACTCCTGAGATCTCAATGCTTTTTAATTCAAACCTGGTCATATCCATGTCATTAGCATTCAGCATATAAGTTTATGAGAATCCATAGGGAACAATGCCACCTCCTATGTTCAATATACGCTCATCTTCTACGTAAAACTGGGAGTTGCCACATTCGAAGTGTGAGTCAGACTGTATATATCTAGAGGTCAGTATTATTTTACTTGGCTTTACCACCTGCAAATGTATCCAGAGGAGTTTGACATCTATCAAATGGCCTCCATTCCTTCTTTTCATCTGATTCATAGCATCATTTGTGGTAATCTTTGAAATACTCTTTGCAAAATCTTGCTAATCTTGGCTCATTCAGCTGACACATTCCTTGTTGTTTTTAATAAAGGCCTGAGACTCAATTCTAAAATGTTGCCTACAGATCAAAATACCTCTAGTGTCAGTTGAACTTACACTTCTAGAGGGACGACTAAGTGAACATAGATTGACCAGTAAATTTACCGTTGCCCAGGCTAATCATATACAATATTCTCTTAATAAAAGTCATCACCATCATACTATTTATCAAAAATACAAAAACTATCCAATTAATGCTTAGATTTACGAAAATTTTAAGATTTCAATTTTTAAGCAAAATTAAGGGGTTTTGGGGTTTTGGGGTTTTGGGG